CCCCCGCACAGTTAAGTCAAAGATGATTTTGGGGTTGCGGCACTCATCTCGCTTTCAGGCCGAGGGAGCTGGCGTTTGTCCACAGACAGCTTTCCGGATCATATGGCCAGCGTGACTAAACCGCTTCTGGTGCAACGGGACACCATGAAGGAAACCAGGGCACATAGAAATGCCGTTTACCTTCCCACTGCAGTGGTACCTATTTATCTACTTGCACTGGTGTGCTTTCGAACTGCTAGGTTGGCAGGAGCTGGGACAGAGCAACGGAAGCTCACTCCGCCGCAAGGATTCGAACTGCCAACCTTCCGATCGGCAAGCTCAAGAGGCTCAGTGGTTTAGACCACAGCGCCACCTGCATCTAGCTTACATTGTACAGTGGTACCTCGGGTTAAGTACTTAATTCTTTCCGGAGGTCCGTTCTTAACCTGAAACTGTTCTTAACCTGAAGCACAACTTTAACTAATGGGGCCTCCTGCTGCTGCCATGCCGCTGGACCCAGATTTCTGTTCTTATAGTGAAGCAAAGTTCTTAACCTGAAGCACTATTTCTAGGTTAGCGGAGTATGTAACCTGAAGCGTATGTAACCCGAGGTACCACTGTATATAGACTATATGGGTCAGTCACTGTCTCGGCCTCACCTACTACACAGAAATGTTGTGAGTATAAAGTGATTTGGGAGAAGCACATGCATAGCTAAGAAATTCTTGGAGGTATGGACAAAAATAATGCAGTGAAGGCTTAGGATTTATTTTTAAATGGCCATGTATCAGGTGACATACTCTTTGACAGGGGTGGCTGGGTGGATGGAGAGGAAAGGGTGTTAAAAGCAACTGCAAAGCCATTGCTTGCAACACAAGGCATGTAATCATCTAGCTCTTCTCAGCTAATAAAGCCAGTAATATCGTGTGGTTACCTCGCAATAAGCCCATTATCACCATTTTATTCATTAGCAATAATGGAAGTCTGCCATTCACAACCAAAATCGAGTTTCTCCCGCGTAGCAGGGAAGGGAATAAATTATGAAATGAAAATAAAAGCAGTAACAATGACCCCAGAGTACTTTCGTGCACTTTGCACAAAACCTCGATTTTTGTTAAGCGCAACGGGGAAATAGTATGTTAAGATAGCTAATATTTGAGAAAGGCTACACTTCAGTTTCACAGAATTTTAAAAGGATAAAAGCCAGGATGATGTATGCAGACGAACAGGATAAATACGCCTCCCTGCCTCCACGTTCCATAAAATGTTAGGTGCATTATTTTTTAGCATGAAAATGGCTCGCCGTATTAGAGCTGGTGTAGAAAAGGGAGCATTTCGGGCTAGGAATTCTCCCAGAGTTTGCTCCAGCCACATAAGCGGAAAACAGGATAAAACAAGCCACTCTTGAAATAATACCGGCCTATATTTAAAGGTTATTAATAGGATTAGTAAAGGTAAAGGGACCCCTGACCATTAGGTCCAGTCGTGGCCGACTCTGGGGTTGCGGCGCTCATCTTGCTTTATTGGCCGAGGGAGCCGGCGTACAGTTTCCGGGTCATGTGGCCAGCAGGACTAAGTGTCTGTGCCCTTGAAGATCCCCAGCAAAAAATAATGGGCAAGTCTCTTCTCCATTGCTGCATGCCCAATGCAGGTATGATTTCAATACTACAGGATGGCCTGCTAAGCAACAAAGGCCCTGCACAAAAGTACAGTTGCCAACTGCACTGGGAAATGGCACAGTGGTTGCTGTAAATGATGATAATGGGAAACCTACTTTTCTCTGCACTTGTTGGAGGACTGCCTGGGAAGAGCTGGAGAGACACATGGAAGGGGCTTGAGCAATGATCAGCAGTTGCCTTTGCCTGACTGTTCTGTAAAGGTAAAGGTACCCCTGACAGTCAGGTCCAGTTGCAGATGATTCTGGGGTTGTGGCGCTCATCTCACTCTATAGCCTGAGGGAGCCAATGTTTGTTCGCAGACAGGTTCTGGGTCATGTGGCCAGCAGGACTAAGCCGCTTCTGGCGAACCAGAGCAGTGCACGGAAACGGCGTTTACCTTCCCACCGGAGCGGTACCTATTTATCTACTTGCACTTTGGCGTGCTTTCGAACTGCTAGGTTGGCAGGAGCAGGGACCCAGCAACGGGAGCTCACCCCGTCGCGGGGATTCGAACCACCGACCTTCTGATCAGCAAGTCCTAGGCTCTTTGGTTTAACCCATAGCGTCACCCGGTCCCTGCATTACTAGGTGAAAAATACGTACAAATTGCTTTGATCACTTTAAAGTACTCTATAAATGTGTGTTATTCTAACATCACATTCACTGACTTCTCTGACCCTCCTTAGAAATATGAACATAGTGCCTTAAGATGCTGTTTAAAACACGTACCGTATATAGCCAAGAAAACTTAAGTGTAACTGTAGTGTATCAAGAATTCATGAGAATTCACAGGCTGCTGGTGCCTATGTACTTTGTTGGCAAGACTATTACAAATGTGGCTTTGAACACATGGAATACCCACATGCTTTGAAATGTTTAAACCAGAAGAGAAACCCCACTGCCTGACCATTGATGGTTCTAGCAAGAAAAGACCAAAGTACAGTGGTACCTCGGGTTACATACGCTTCAGGTTACATACGCTTCAGGTTACAGACTCCGCTAACCCAGAAATAGTGCTTCAGGTTAAGAACTTTGCTTCAGGATAAGAACAGAAATTGTGCTCCGGCGGCGTGGCAGCAGCAGGAGGCCCCATTAGCTAAAGTGATGCTTCAGGTCAAGAACAGTTTCAGGTTAAGAACGGACCTCTGGAATGAATTAAGTACTTAACCCGAGGTACCACTGTATTAGCAATGGCCAATGTTCCTCTGAGCAGCAGCAGTAGCTAAGGTGCAAGATAGTTGTCATTTGCAGATGGAATTTGAATTATAAACTCTATTTAAACATTTAAAAAATGCTGAAAATAACTGTTTCTAAAAAAACACCACCTGAAGCCTTTCTTTTAGGAATTTTAGGTGCCTAAATCACAATGGAGCAGAAAAGACTATTTATGTGTGTGGCAACAGCTGCGTGGGTGTTATTGGCCCAGAGATATAAAGAAGACAAAGTCCCGACCCAAGAATGGCAGATTAAATTGATGGATTATGCCGAAATGGCAAAAATGACTTGAAGAATTTTAATTCTTCTTATTAAATTTTAATAAGGAATGGGGGAATTTTTATAATTTACCTTGAAAACCATTGTAAACAGTTCAAATCGTTATTAGGATTGGAATAGCACTTGCAGTTTAATGGTGAATTTTGGATATAATGGAGATGTAAAAGATTTGGATTAGTATAAAAGATGCAGGAGGAAATGACTAACAATAGGACCCATAAAGGGTAGGAGGCAAGGCCAGGAGATTCTATGGAAGCTTGTTTTCATGTTGGATGTGTGATTGTCAAATTCTAATTTGAAACACCAAATAAATAAATAAATAAATAAATAGTCTTTAAAACATAGGTAGGCAAACTAAGGCCCGGGGGCCGGATCCAGCCTAATCGCCTTCTAAATCCGGCCCACAGATGGTCTGGGAATCAGTGTGTTTTTACATGAGTAGATTGTGTCCCTTTTTTTAAAATGCATCTCTGGGGTATTTTTGGGACCTGCCTGGTGTTTTTACAGGAGTAGAATGTGTGCTTTAATGTAAAAGCATCTCTGGGTTATTTGTGGGGCATAGGAATTTGTTCATTTTTTTTTCTTTTCAAAATACAGTGGTGCCCCGCAAGACGAATGCCTCGCAAGACGAAAATCCCGAAAGACGAAAGGGTTTTCCGTCACGGAGGCGCTTCGCAAGACGAAGTTCCCTATGGGCTTGCTTCGCAAGACGAAAACGTCTTGCGAGTCTCGCCATTTCCCCCCCGCTCCCCCCCCTTTTTCAAAGCGGCGGCTAAGCTGTTAATAGCCTTTTAACAGTTTAGCCACTAAGCCCGCTAAGCCGCTAATAGCGCTAAATCGCTAATAGCGCTAATCCGCTTAGCCGCCAATGGGGTTGCTTTGCAAGACGAAAAAACCGCTAGAAGAAAAGAATCGCGGAACGGATTCTTTTCGTCTTGCGAGGCACCACTGTATAGTCCAGCCCCCCCACAAGGCCTGAGGGACAGTGGACCGGACCCCTGCTGAAAAAGTTTGCTGACCCCTGCTTTAAACTCTATGAACTAATAGTGTGCATTTACTCCTACTATGCAAGCATGCCTAGAAAAAAACGTGTGTGTGTCAGGTGCTGATGGCTCAATTCCATTTTCAAGCAATCAAGTCTGACTGACAGGGAGCAAAGTGGAATGCAGTATTAATTGCATGTAAAAAGATCAGGACCAACAGATTTCTGTATTATGTACCCAAGTGATTCTGTATAAAACACCAGAGGTCCCACAGTTCCGTTTCTAATTCCAGATCTTCATGCTGCCTTATTTACAAATATGGACCCCTTCAAAAAAAAAAAAAGCCAACTCTTTCAGAACAGGTTTCTGGGGTTTTAAAATCCCCCACAGTATGCAGACACAGCTGTTTGTATCCCAGCCACATGTTCAGAAAAAAATAGTTCCTTCAGGTTAATCATTGTACAGTGATACCTCTAGTTAATGAACTTAATTCGTTCTGGAGGTCTGTTCTTAACCTGAAACTGTTCTTAACTAGAGGCGTGCTTTTGCTAATGGGGCCTCTTGCTGCCGCTGTGCCGCCGGCGCACGATTTCCGTTCTCATCCTGGGGCAAAGTTCTCAACACCAGGTAACTCTTCCAGGTTAGCGGAGTTTGTAACCTGAAGCATTTGTAACTCGAGGTACCACTGTATTCATTTCATAAATTACATTCCAAGGGGTTGATTAATTTCCCTTTCTGCATTATATCCGAACCAGAATTTCAAATGCAGTTGTTGTTTTTTTTAAAGTTACCATCTAAACCCAAACCAGAATTAAACCCAAGTTTTCTATGTTTCAACTATCTAAAGCCAACTTAATTAGCTATGAATTTAAATGAAATTAAACAGTTCGTTTTTTCCTTATTTAATAAATAATATCAAAAAGTGAACTAGTTCATATTTACAGTATTTGAATAAAAAAAACAGTCTTGTCTAACTTCTGCAATTTTTTACAAGCTGTATGAAAAGAGATTCCATATCCAGTTTGAGTGGAGTCCAGAGTGCAGTTCCTCACAGAGTTGACTTCTTGCATGGGTATGTTCTGCTCTTCTGGTTACACAGATGACTTCACTGTCAACCAATCCCTTGTGTGCAGAAGCGCACCCAAATTTTAACAAGTTTGCAATCATCTCAGTGTCATACATTTTTTGATTAATTAGTCACAGGAAGAGTAACAGAACATTAAATTTAATCTTGACACAGTTGAGTGAAACGTTTTAAAATCAAATATTGAACCAGCTAATTACACACTCTGTACATGTGACAACACACTTGATGTGGCATACATTTCACTTTTATTTATTCCTGGAAACTGCTGATTATTTGCAGGCTTTAACTGGTGAATTATAAAATCTGAGCAGATTCGTTTTCCTACAAAAGGTATAGCAAAGACTTGATCAGCCTTCTATCTTATTGCTACCAAGTTTTACAGGTGCACGGTTTGCAAAATAAAACCCTTTTGAGGACTGAATGGGCACATACATACACACATACAGATACACATCACCACAAGAGGCCTGCAACCAATGTTTCGTCTCGTGAATTCCCCATTCCCTCAATCATATGCAATCTTACTCAGAAGTCTTATCAACAGGGGCTTTACTACTGATGCGTGCTTGCAGCCCAAACTGTTTACTTTAAGACTGCATTCCCCGTCTAGGGAAAACTGTGCTCTTCCTGTCTACTGATGTATCTGGTCCTCAGCCGTACAAAAACTCCTAACAGCAGCCAACATCAAGAGATTGCTGCCAGAACAAATGGCTTCTTAGCAGAAAGCCACAAACAAGCACCAGAGAAGTTCTGACATTCCATGCATAACGTTGAAAGAACATTGTGGGGAATGCAACAATGCCTTCAGCCAAGGGATGGAGGAGTTTGACACATGGAGTGTTTGGCTGCAGAGCATGTCAGTAGGCAGCTGGGAGAGGGTTAACTAAGGGGTTTTGACTAAGGAAGGGTGCACAAAATGCCAATTTCATTCACAGCGAGAAGAAACTCCCAACTCACTTCCAAATGCACACGTGTATAAACAGATTTCCAAGTAGACATGAGCTGTGACCAAATCTCTCTCCTTCCAGGATGCTGCATGTCCTGTTTGTGGTGATGCTCTAATTCCAAAAGCGCAATACAACGTAAGAAGAGTATCATATAAAGCTCCACAAAACAGAACAGAATATGGGGGGGGGGGACACACCACACATTCACGATGTTGGAGCAGCTGCTCAGTACTGCAGTTTCCACAGAGAGAGAAAAACTTCAGTCCCAAAAGCGTTTAGGGAAACCCAAATTTTGCTTCTAACGCCAAGCTGCCACCCAATCCCACATTTACAGTGTTTGGAAACAAGTTAAAACACCTGGCACAGGAAAAGTACAGACGCTCTACACTCACATAAACCGGTTTTCTAAAGAAAAAATAAATGCCATGATTCATAAGTTAAGTGTTTTGTTTCAGAATGGAAGCCGCTATGAAGCTATTTGGTCTGAAACGGGTTGTGCCAGTGTCAGAGGTGCATCAAACACATTCTACTTAAGAGATGTATTGAGAGATTTGCAGACGACTTGTACAACCCCTCGAGACTGACCTGTAGAAAATATGTTCCGGAAGCTTTAACGGTGACCTAACATGTAACAGCAGCACTCAGCATTGAGCTGCTTTTTCCATACAAAACAGAGCATACGGCTTGCTCTCTCACATTGTTCGGAAAGCAATTTAAAAAGTGGTCTGAATCAACTCAAAAATGTTACTTATCCTCCCCAATGATGCAAGAATAAGGACCAGGTTAGAAAACCAAGCCATAAACGTTGTTTCTGCGATGTTCCACTACAAGAGGGAAGGACTGCATGTCTGAATGCTGCCACAGAGGGAGAGAACTCCTTGAATGTAGAAATTTAGTATGAGCATGGGAAAAGGCTGAACCCTCTCCCCTCCATAAGCTGATTTTATAGGGACTTAAGGTATTTAAAAGTCAAAACAGTCCCTTCCACCTAAAGTAGTGCAGCCTCAGAAAAACTCTATTCTAAGTGATTATATAACATGGCCCTAAACAGGGTTCAAAGGCTATAGCATAACACTCTTATGCCAGCTATGATCATTTTGACTGGTTATTCTGAGGTAGCCCTGTTTAGGCCAGTGACCTTATTCCGAAAGCATTTTGTAGACCACAGTTTCATTCCTCCCCCCCTCCCCCAACTACTGCACATTAGCAGGCAAATTTAGCTCACTATGTTATGGAAGTTGAATAGCCAAACCCATTCGTGAAAAAATAAGGATCCATCCATCAGCTAAAGAGATTCAGAAAATAAAACTTACTCAGAGCAATGAAAGCTTATTTCTAATTTTAGTCTGGAAGACTATTTCCAATATACCAATTTTCCTACCTGAAGATAACAGGACAGCTAGTCCAGAAAAAGAAAAGGTTACAAAAGCCAAGTGTCTAAGGTTACAAGGTACTGCTTAAAAGTGAATTTATCTCTCCCCCCAAAAAACACTCTCTCACTATCCTGTAGTGTAGAGAAAGGCAAAAAGTAGATATAATTCCTTCAGTTCAATTCCTTAAGAGATACAAATATTGGATATATGCCATTTGGGCAACGCAGGGCAAAGAGATTAAAAAGGATGAGATGCAGCTATATGCAAAAATGATGACACCCGGGGAACTGTGAAAGCTGATAAGCTTGTAACAGTTATCAACTGTGTATGCAATTATTAGTTTGATTTTTCTGAAAACCTCAGACATTAGCACTAGTTGATCCCGAAAACATTCAGCGAAAAGCCCGAAGTCCATGAGTGAACAGCGCTGCGTAAGTCAATACCTCTTCAGCACACACCATGAAGCAATTTGCACTACGTTACAACCGGGAGAAAATTAAGAACAGACAACGTATACAGGCTTACAAGTAAATGCCAGTAAACAGCCAGAGATAAGGCCACAGTGAATCCTGCCCTTGGTCACTAAAAAGAGAGAGAGAGAGAGATGAGGAGAGGCAGTAACTGGCTAAGTATTAAGAACCAGCGGCTCGCAACAATGTTGTTGGGGGCAAGTTACACAGTATGAAAAGACAACACAGCGCATTTCAAGAGAGCGGCACCGATTTAACTGGATGGGTTTAGAAGCTACAGCCTTGGTGTGGAAAGAAATCTACTCAAAATAAGTAACAGTGCTGATTAAACTTGAGGACCATGTGGAAGTCACTAACATTGCTTACTTGTGTAGCCAAACACTTCCCTTGTGTTTATGGAAGAATGCAGTATGAGGGAGGATGAGAAATGCACGCCAGGACTATGTCCTAGGAAGTGTAAAGGTACTTCTGTGCACGCAACAAATCAAGAGAGAAATCGCTTCAACTCAACCATCAAAGTGTGGGTGGGGTAGAGAGATAAGACACGACAACTTCCAAATTTAAGTACCACCAATATCCAACTAGTGCAACTCAAGATCAACCACTTCTCCGCTCCCACTAGTGGGGCTTGGAAATCCAAGCCGTGGGCAGAAAGGCTTGTGACTGGGTCTACTATGTATTGGGTCTTCTTCGCCACCTCAGCCCAACAAACCTTCATCCAATAAACCTCAATCGCAAGGATTCCCAGGCATATGATGGCAGGGGGAAACCCTGTGGCCATATAAGCCTGGGGCTTTTTGTGCCCTGCTCCCTAAGCAACTTCTGGTCCTCTCAAAAGCTGCTCCTAAAGGTTAGGACAGGCTCTGATGTGGCATGTTTGATGCAGGCGGCAAGGGATACCCGCTGCCTCCCTATTGAGGGTGCAGAAATACTGCACATGCACACTTTCCAGAGTGGTAGCCACGTTAGTCTATCTCAGCAAAGACAAGGATCCCTGTGGGACTCCATCTCCTGTTGCTTTCAACACATGAACAGGCGTTTAAGATCCTGGCCCTGGTCACAAAAGTCCCTATGGAGCATTCCACAAGAAGCTTTGCAAAAGGACTTTGGAAGAAGGAAGCAGTAGTGTCAATTGGCCCTCCATTAACGTGCAATCAGGGAAAGATATGAACCTTGCAGTAGATTATTGGCAACGGAGAAAAGGAAGGAGAAGTGTAGTCCGTATCAGTGCTTTCGCATTTAGCCATTTCTAAGTACTATCATTTAACTGTACAATGACTTCACACTCAAAGAAAGTAGTATCATACAAAGAAGAAGTTCATTAGGTTGGCCTAATGTCTGAGGATATAGCCATGCTGGTTTGTGATGGCTTCCAACTCACAAGGAAGAGATGCACCGACCAATCCTGTTTGTGGCTAATGCTTCAAGGGGGGGGGGGAATGTTGCCATATGCCAACGAGACAGACAAACATGCTGCCAAATGAAGTTATTGGGAACAGTTCACTTAAAAAAAAAAAGAATCACGCACACATTTAACTTACACTTAATAGCAAATTATGTACAAGATTAGCAAAAAATAAAAAAGCCAACCTGAATGCATGTATTGACCGTGAAAGGAAGAACTCTCCGAAACACCAACAGATGCCAGTAGCATGAGCAGTTAAGAAAAACTGCACGAGGCCACATTTGTAATGTAAAAAACCTCATGAATCAACACTATAAATACATAACAAAGGAACACATAGAAAGAGCTGTCCACAATGGCGGAAAGAGGAGCTCTAAAGTTAACATACATTGCATGTATTGCAGGCAAGGCAGAGGCATTTTTTTAAAGCTTTTGCACAAACTTCATATCATCTTAAAAAAAATATGCTGGCCTTTACAAGGTTCTACTTGGTGAAAATAAAAAAAAATCAGTTCATAAAAAGTCACAAGACTTCAGTTTAAAAAAATGCAAGTTCCAGCCACAGACCAAAAATATATATATTTTTTAAAAACTGGAAGAGTATGGTGATTATACAAGAATGGTCAGGCTTGGAACCTGAGTATACTTCAGAGCAAACGCTCAGAGGAAAAAAATAATATATAAACTATTTGGTAACAAAAGCATACTATATGTTGTGATACAAAAAGGTATGGTGAAAATGTACCTTTTATACTAAAGCGTTTCCTTGGTCCATAAAAACTATGTTATGTCCATGTTTTCGAGTTCAACTTGTATCCCAGCCACTTTTATTTATTTTTTTTAGTTTCGAGCCCATTTTTAAGAGAGACAACTAAAAATAGATTTTGAGTATGAATAGAAATGGGCCTTTCCTCCCCGCGATTTTTTAGTTGTGGCTTCTACTGAGATCAGCACTTGTAGGTGAAAGAAGTTCAAAGAGCAGTGAAGAGGTTTTTCCACCCCACCGGGAAACCACAAAAGTTGTTCAGTTTCATTGTTCGAAGCACTTAAGTTTTTTTTTTTTAGAAGTTCCACATAAAAGAGCAGTGGTTAGGAAACTACTGTTGCCGTGGATGATGTGACGTTGGTTGGATTTGTGCTGATGTTTGTGTAGCTTCCCTCGCTGTTTGTGCTTGTTTCGTTGGATGCCAGGAGACTGGAGTTGGCTCTGAGGATTGCTCCAGCGGCACTACAGTGGGGTCGGGGTCCTGGCTCTGGCGTGTAGGTAAATGTAAGGCTGGTAGAGTAGATTATGCCATCATTGCGCACCAATGTGACTGGGACTTGGACCGGCTGGCGGACCCACCTCCAGCCTTCCCGGAATGCGGAAATGTCAGGAACGACACACAGCATGCTCTCTGCACACCTAGGGAAGAGGCAAGAGAGGGCGTTAGCTGTCGGAATATGCCGAACTGGCAAATTCAGCTATGGAAAGTAGGGATCAAGGAGAAGCAGCCTTTAAGGAGGACTGGAAACCTTTTGTAGATTACCGTATTTTTCGCTCTATAGGATGCACCGGACCATAGGAGGGGGAGAACAGGGGGGGGGGGGTAAAAAATCTCCCCCTCTCTGCTCAGCACCCCTTCAGTAAAGCAGTAGGAGAAATGGAGCCCCTTCCATTTCTCCTCCCGCTTCGCTGAAGGGGCGCTGCGCAGAGAGGGAAAACTGTGCAGCACCTCTCCAGCGAAGCGAAGCCAGGAAGGCAAGAGGGATCGGTGCGCACCGACCCCTCTTGCTCTTCAGGCTTCAGACGGCTATCCGCAAGCCTTCGGAGCACGGTGGGAACTCCTGCTGCGCTCCGAAGGCTTGCGGATAGCTGCCTGAAGCCCCAGGAGGGCAGCGGGAGTTCCCGCTGCGCTCCGGAGGCTTCAGGCGGCTTCAGCGAAAGCAAAGCGAAGCCTCCGGAGTGCGGGGGGAGCTCTCCCTCTGCGCTTCAGGAGGCTTCGCGTTGCTATTGCTGAAGCCAAGGAGCCTGCATTCGCTCCATAAGATGCACACACATTTCCCCTTAATTTTTGAAGGGGGAAAATGTGTCTTATAGAGCGAAAAATACGGTATTTAAAAAGTGATTGTGAACTTGTGAAAATGCAAGTGGGATTTGAATGAAAAACAGCAGGAACTATGCACCTGAGAATAAGCAGAAAGGATAGGGCATAGAATAATCAAAATACACAACGGCATCAGAAATTATGGGGAAACCATGGAGGGCAAGTCAAATGGTAACTGAATATTAATAGGGAAGTGTGTGTTTTGTATTAAATTTGTAATAATTATTGTTATTTTATTATTTATACCCCGCCCATCTGGCTGGGTTTCCCCAGCCACTTTAAAAATTTATAAATAAATATTAAGAGAGTTAGAGCGAGAGAGAGCGCATTAGCTGACAAACACATTTATCGCCAAGAAAGAACTATGCAAAGTTGTGGATACAAAGTAAAAAAAATAATAAAAAAATTCTGAACCCAGGCAATCAAAATTCCTCAACAGGAAAAATTTGATTCTGCAATCACCATACATTATACATAGAAAACCAATCTTTTTCTATTTCACTCTGTGTAAGAGAAATTGCAGAATTTTTTTTTCTTAATTTGTTCTGGCTTTGCTTGTACTGTGGAGCAGGGGACTGGAGTCACCCCCCCCCCAAAAAAAACCCACCTTAAAATAAAAATTCCAGCAGTTGTTTCCAACACAGTTGACGGATGCTTCTCCAAAGAAAAGTTATTCACCACTAACAAAGCCCTATGAGTCCAGAAAGTATCCGTTTGTTTAACTGATGTTTGGGGGAAGTACCTTCCCCCAACTAACTTAATTAATTAATTAATTAATTAAGTTTTGGAAAAACTTTGGTGTGTTGGCATGGCAGCACAGATTACCAGTACACATGGAAAAGGATGATCACTGAGGACCAATGTAAATCATCGGGAACACCACCATTCCTGCTATGAATACGAAGCTAACTTGTCTTTTTTAAGAGCCTTGAAAGGACTTTGCCAGAAAAGGCGGTATAAAAGTATTTCAAACAGATAAACGATGCTTTGGGCAAAATTTTAAGTGGCATGATAAAAGCATTTTTGGTTCCCTGTTTGCTATTGTAATGAGAAATGGAAAAGAATGTTGCAAAGATGGCCTCCTAAACTGTAATTTACTTCAAAAGCAGGCACCTATATTGAAGTTTTGGTAATATGCAAGTTAATTTAAAATTGATATATTATTCAAGGCTAAGTGGTTAATTAACTCTCACACTTACGGTACCTAAACAGATGACAGACTTATCTTTAGAGTCCACAAAAAACAAAAACAAAACCACATTCTGAACTTGATGTGTGAAAAGAAATATCGTAAGTGTGATACCGCACCTGTACATTGTTTCCGCTTCCACATCTCCAAACCAGACGCGTAAATTTGGAGTGAAGTTCTGTCCAGTAAGTTCCAACATTGCTACATCCCCTCCTCCATTCAACTAGGGGGTGGGGTGGGGAAATGAGATATAAACTTATCAGATACTTGTGAGAAGTGCACAAATCACTCGAGAAATGCACAAAATGCAGCTGTGTGCAATAAAATGCAACGTTTTTGAGACCAAGGAGGAAGTTAGCTGAAGTACCAATTAGACTCGTTAGAGTAATGCAATAAAGAAGCAAGAAGCAAAATGGTTACGGGCGATATCCAGTGGTGGCAACCAAATTCTGCTAACCACCTTTCTTTTCTGCTAGCGCTGCTTTTAGTGCAGCACCACAGCCCAAGCCAAGTGGTGTCTTGCACTTGCAAAAGACGCTGTGCAGCCCCTAGCACAACTACTGTTGTTATAATTTGGAAGCTACTCCCGTTCTACCACTCGCAGAAGGCCAACTCTTGAACTTAGCATGCTAATGTCAGGTGGGAACTAAATCCCACGATGAGCGCAGGGACGTCAACTCACCTGGAGACTTTCTACAACAGGCACAGGTGTTACTGGAGCATGGACAGGTCCCATTCCCTCATAAAAGGTGTACTCTGCTTTATCTGTGCTAATGATTGTCCATGAAGCTCCGTCATTAATCATCTCTTTATTTGGTTCTTTTGGACATGGAGTGGCCTTTTAAAAAAACAGAGAAGTAATCAGGTGTCCAAGAATGCTTCATGTTAAAACAAAAACGGAGAATGAATCAACTGTAACACATCAAGCCACCTTTGTCAGGGGAGAGGGGCTCCCCCCCCCTATTGCAAAAGCATCATTCACATACTAGTTGCGCTCACTCGCAGTATTTGCAAGCTAGGATCCCCAGGGAAGCCCCCTCTACTGTAGTTCACAATTGTTTAAATTAGGCTGCTTAGCACTGCACTGTACTAAAGCCTAAGTTTAGTATAATGAATGCCATGTTTACAATAATAATAATAATAATAATTTATTATTTATACCCTGCCCATCTGGCTGGGTTTCCCCAGCCACTCTGGGCGGCTCCCAACAGAATATTAAAAAAACAATAAAACATCAAACATAAAAAATTTCCCTAAACAGAGTTGCCTTCAGATGTCTTCTAAAAGTCCTGAAGATAGTTGTTTATTTCCTTGATGGGAGGGCGTTCCACAGGGCGGGTGCCACTACTGAGAAGGCCTTCTGCCTGTAACCTCACTTCTCACAGGGAAGGAACTGCCAGAAGGCCCTCGGAGCTGGACCTTATTAGGCCAGATATACAGAGGCTGCAGATAGCAAGTCTCTGGCCATCTAGATATTACTGGACTCCAGCCACTGCAACCAGTATGGCCCAGTGGTCAGGGGTGGTGGCTGTTGTCGTCCAGCAACATTTGTAGAGCCACAGTTACCCCACCACAGAAATCCACCTTCTCTTTGGTCTTTGCTTCTTACTGCAAAGTTTTCCCTAGCCCTTTGCCTCTCCCCGCCCCCTTCAAGTGCCCAGCGCGAAGCCTCTTCAGAACAGTATTTTTCGCTCTATAAGACACACTTTTTCCCTTCAAAAAAGTAAGGGGGAATGTGTGTGCGTCTTATGGAGCGAATGCAGGCTGCGCAGCTATCCCAGAAGCCAGAACAGCAAGAGGGATCGCTGCGCAGCGCTCCCTCTTGCTGTTCTAGCTTCTGACTTTGCCACGCGAAGCCTCTTCAGGGCAGGGGGAGCCTTCATCCCACTGCCCTGAAGAGGCTTCGCGCGGCTATCTCAGAAGCCAGAACAGCAAGAGGGATCGCTTGCTGTTCTGGCTTCTGGGATTCAGAATATTTTCCTCCTCTAAAAACTAGGTGCGTCTTATGGTCTGGTGCATCTTATAGAGCGAAAAATACGGTAGTTGCATCCATTTCAAGGCAGCTCTCCACCACACTCTAAGCTCCTAACATCTCCCATGCTATGCATCAATTTGCAGCTCCACAGCTAGTTCTAAAATACTTTGCAGGACGAGGCAAGCTTCTGAAACCTCAGCTAAACCTCAAAGGAAAGGTCTGATCTGCAACAAAGGTGTGCAGTGCTACGTACAATCTTTCCCGCTAGCAGCGAGTCTGATCCAGGAATTGCTGAGCCCTGCCACCCCGCTCCTTTCAACAGCTCCAGACCAGGAGCTGGAACTTTGTGTACTCTGTTCCCTTTGGATTGGCACTGCTGCAGTGTGAGATTATGTCGACGTGTAATATTACCCGTTTGTCAACTAACTCACTTGAAATTGGATGATTCGCTCCTGGGAAAGGCACAAGTACATTCGTTCGGTATCTTTAAGGTAGAACGCACACTTATGGAGCTGTGACACTGGATCGTCTGCATCTAGCAATGCCGTCTGTTTGTCCACTTTTCGAATTATCTGTAGATAAAAAAAGTGCACATAAGACACACTTGGAATCAAAATGCAACTTGTTTCTGGGCACTGAAAAGCGGCAGCAGTGAACTTGTATGTGAATATATTTGGTATCAAAAGAGTGCTTGAGGGATTCTAACTGTGGGAGGGATTCATCAAGTATCAGGAGCCAGTTAAACACATCATCCGTGTTCATATGAAGCTTCTATAGTTCATCAAACCTAACAAACTACAGGAGGCACTTTAATTTAAGCACTAAGCATACTGTAGTAAATTGACAATATGGATTTGGACTTTGAAACAGTGCCTTATACTGCTCTACATTGGTATAGCTTGCACAAAACCAAATGTATATCAAAACATACTATAGTTTACAACCATTAACAGCTATGTATAACCAGCCTGGTAGCTTTTAAAGACTGATTATCAGTTAAAAACTATATTCTCAGTTCTCTATTCTTTAACAAGTGTGTGTGTGTGTGTGTGTACACACACACACACGCACACACACACACACACACGTTATCAAAGGAGTAAAGATCCAGTGTGGTGTAGTGGTTAGTTTGTTGGCCCGGGATCCAAGACCAGGATTCATATCCCTACACAACCATGAAGCTCCCTGGGTGACCAGCCACTGTCTTAGCCTAAACTGCCTCTTGGGGCTTTGTTGAGAGGGTAAAATGGAGAGAGGGAGAACCGAGTACCTTTCTTTGGAAGTAAGGTGGGATATAAAAATAATACTAGATCTAAAAATTAAAAACAAATATACCAGTCTTGGGAGTGCCATGCCAGTGACGGAACAAACAAGTTTAACCGTCTGCCCATAATGAATGTAGCCATCTCGAACTGTGAATTCTTCACCTTCCGATTCATCATCATCCACTGCAGAGGAAAAGAAAAGGTCTTAGTATGCAAGGAGATCAATAGATTCCAAAAGCAATCACACAGCACAGACAAGTATGGGTTTTCAATCGCAAGCTTTACTTACAGAGGTGGATGTAAAATGCTCCCCACTGTTGCGAGCTGGCATGGAAGTTTCCTCCCTCCACGTGCAAGTATCTCGTGCTAACTGTTTGCGACCGAAGTCTATTGAATAGTGCCACTTTTGTCCCCGATGCAATGCACACTGCAAAAACAAACCAACAAGCCAGATATTTAAATATGTCAGTCTTTAGAACAGACTGTTAAGCTATAAAGATTTGCATGAAAAGCCCATGCATGCAAAAATAATCTAGGCAGCAACTCTAATAATCTATTGCTACATATTCCTTCCAAAAGTACTTACCGTATTTTTCGTCCCATAGGACGCTCCGTCCCATAGGACGCACCTAGGTTTTTTTGGGGGGGAAACCGAACCAGGTCGAGGAACAGCGGGATGGCGGCACTGCGCTCCCTGCCTAGGCTGTGGATGTGTTCCCGAAGCGCCGGGCGCTCTGCTTTCAGCATGCCTGGCGCTCCAGGAAGCAGGCTGCGGATGTCTTCCTGAAGCCTGGAGAGCGAGAGGGGTCGGTGCGCACCGACCCCTCTCGCTCTCCAAGCTTCAGCGAAAGCCTGCATTCGCCCCATAGGACGCACCCAGATTTCCCCTTCATTTTTGGAGGGGGGAAAGTGCGTCCTATAGGGCGAAAAATACGGTAAATGTTTTTAGTTGCAAAGCTAAAATCCAGAAAATGTGTATATATAAGAAAGCACATTCCTGATGGCAACCTACTTCAGAAATTTGGAATGTATGCTTCATTTTAAACATATATAAAATTAAAATTCCTTAAATGTGGCCATAGTAACAGATTCACAAGCCAACTGCAGCCGACTGTTTTTCTCCAAAGCAGCAAAAACAAAGCATTTCCTTCTAATTCCAGTGTTTGAAATTAATATGCCAGGTATCCCTTTCAACCAACCTCTCTAGGCCTTATTTCAAATCTTGGCACTGTTTCCCCTCCTCCTCCTCCAAATACTAAAATTGTAAAATCAAGCGGCTTCTTTGTGAGCAGCGTTGCCTAGCCGTTTTCTCAGAGTGTCTGGAACCAACCAAAATAGAGGTTAACATGGCCAATATTCTGCACCACACCACCATTCTAACACATCTGAGCACTAGCTTAGAAGTTACTACATTTAGTGGGAAGCAGAAGGGAAGTGACTGACACTTCTGCACTTCCCACTTGGGCTGCAATTTATGATGTAGAATAACAGATCTGATCATTTGCAAATGTTACGAGCTCCAGCCTTGCATTTTATGGGAGTAGCAGGGAAGGCAGCAATATTAGCTATGAGATAGAAACGCCCTATCCATCTCCCTGGGTGAAATGAAGTGTCACACTTGGCACTTAAACCCCTTAAGAGGGTTTCCTACAGGGACTATTTCACCTGGTAATTATGTAACGCTACAGGTAAAATTACATGCTGCCTTACAGGACATCTTCAGGAGAAGAAAATGCTTAGGAGTAAATGCTACACAAATCCAGAATGGAGTCCCTAAGATAGTTGGGTGGCGTTTTGTACGCCGCCTCCTGGCAACTCCTGCAGGCAAGCTGGTGCCAAAGAGCGGGGTACTGTCATCTGGGCAGCCCAGGATCTCCATACACACTGCCCAGGCTTGTGCCCCAGAGGTCACTTTGGTGCTGCTAATGCAGCAAAAGCAACACAGGAGGAAGCAATTACAGTGGTACCTTGGGTTACATATGCTTCAGGTTACAGACTCCGCTAACCCAGAAATAGTGCTTCAGGTTAAGAACTTTGCTTCAGAAATCGTGCCCTGGCAGCACGGCAGCAGCAGGAGGCCCCTTTAGCTAAAGTGGTGCTTCAGGTTAAGAACAGTTTCAGGTTAAGAACGGACCTCCGGAACGACTTAAGTACTTAACCTGAGGTAAAGGTAAAGGGACCCCTGACCATTAGGTCCAGTCGTGGCCGACTCTGGGGTTGCGGCGCTCATCTCGTTTTACTGGCCGAGGGAGCCGGCATACAGCTTCCGGGTCATGTGGCGAGCATGACTAAGCTGCTTCTGGCGAACCAGAGCAGCGCACGGAAACACTGTTTACCTTCCTGCCGGAGTGGTACCTATTTATCTACCTGCACTTTGACGTGCTTTCAAACTGCTAGGTTGGCAGGAGTAACCTGAGGTACCACTGTACAATTAACTGGCTTCTGCAGCTACAGCAGTAGCTGTGATTCTCCAGCGGTTTGGCTTCATTCCTGGATGTGCACTCCATTGTCTGTTGAGAAAGATGGATGTCAACAAATGGACCCAGGCATCCACCCCCCATACCATCACCAGTCTGCCTGAGGGCAAGGTGATCTGCTCAAAGGCTGGGCATGTGGAAGGCTACCGGGGGTATGGGAATGACAGAAAAAGAAAACCTGTTACGCAAGCAGTCATTCACTCACACAGCACTGGATATCACCCTTTGAAAGTCCCGAGTCTCTTAATTTGCTTTTTAAAAAGTTCATTCCATTATAAAATTTCAAAGACTGTAAACCATTTTTTTTGGAAACAGATAAAGTACTTTGAGTATTTGTGGGATGGAAGCTAGCTTACCAACTTATCCATGTAGTTTTGTATACATAGGGAGTATATTATGTGGGGCAACATTCTCACATTTGACTCTCCCTATACGCTGAATTGGGTTCTGCCCAGCAAACAATGCACTGCATGTTCCAGAATACTGTAGTGGCAAGTTGAAGAAATCACCCTTTCAAAAGTTAAAGGGTGTCATTGAGGTGTATAGCTCAGTTGGGACACGAGTGTCACTGTGGTCTAACCCCCCCTTTTTTTTTACCTTATTTATAGCTCAGTTGGTTAGACCACAGTACTGATAATGCCAAGGTTTCAAGTTTGATCCTCATATGGGACAGCTCCATATCCCTGCATTGCAGGGGTCCTCAGGGTCCTTTCCAACTCTACAATTCTATGATGTATTTGTTATAAAGGTTCATGCCCTTCTAAATTGCTAGATCACGTTATCATATGGCAGCACTGCTGTTCCTACATACACACCCAACACACGATTAAAGGCATTTTCTCGTTTGAAAATTATGACATACAAATAAAGGTGGCACTGTGCTGTACAAAGCAGCTTGCAAAATCAATACTTACAATCTGCATTCTTCAGGGACTGTTTCTTTTTAGATGGTTTGGAAATTACTTTGATTCGTTTACTGAGGAACACGCCAATATCATCGCTATTGCCATAGAACATTTTTACCGATAACATGAAGTGCTTTCGCTTGTCGGAGTCAGATATGTACAAGGTTTTAGCTGTGCAATAGTTCTGTGGATAAGAACAGGAATCAATTCATTAGAAGTTTTAAGTAGCAGCAGAAGGACAAATTATGATTCAAAGCATTATGTGCTAAGGCAATTTGTTAGCTGATCTGTTCAGAGTTCTGACCGGGCTTTGTGCTCTTCTGAATGGCTTGTACAAGACTGTGAGGACTGACTCCAAATGTCACGAGGTTTGTGGAGTGGAGGAAATGGTCAATCATGTTCTATGGGATTGTTTGAAGCATATGGGACATATAGGTGGCAGTAACAGGGCAGTGACAGTAAGAGAACTGGGCTGTGGTACCCATGATTAAAGGAAAGCATGGACGAGACTCATAGTGGACTGAGGCATCTCCCTATAATGCAATCAATTAACAAACCCTAAGAAACAGGCAACTAACTACCTATAGGCACAGAACTTGTTCAACCTTTTTTTCCCTCTGGTTGGTCAGGGAGTGAAATGCTTCTTCATAGAGAAAAGCTAGGACTATGATACTACAAGAGACTTCAATTAATCCCCCTTGACATCTAGAGATGTAAGCAATTTCCCCAGCATCCCAGGTTGCCGTAAATATACCAACATTATTATGAACTATCTTCGTAAGGTCTACGCATGCTGCTTTAAAAATCATACGAGGCTTTTCAAAAACTTCAGGGAGCTGTATACTTCCTTAGCAAGCATCACAGATGTGTGGCTACTGAATTATGAGACGTCCCGTTTTTATGGACCCAAGTACAGCATGCTTGGCTGCATTTTTGTTTGCGCTAATAGCATTAGAAATGCTCATATGTGGAATCTTAATTTTAAACAGATCAGGTCTGTAAACGTTCAAATTGTGAAATCCGCCCCCGATCCAAACAGGCTAGTGTCCCCTACTTCAGGCAACCCTTACAACAAGTTTACACATAGGATGAATTCTTGTACACAGTCAGTATCTACTCGTTTTCCTGGGAATGAAAAGAGTGACCCAATCAATGACTTACTCCCAAGAAGCAGCGCCATGTTCTATGTTTTATCTTCTTAAGCTGGTTTATTGCCATAAAACACATGCTGAAAAATGACTCAGAAGGCCTTCAATACATCAGTGAGCTAGCATATAAAATACAGATTTGTACTCATCCTACCTTTCCTTCCAGATTTAACTGCTGCATTTCTTGGTCACTATTACCTATCCCAATAAAGGCGCATGGTTGAGACTCTTGTTCAGAGCAGCCATCCCGTTCCATCTGTTCTTTTTTTTTCTTCCACCCACTACCCATAAGATAGACACAGGGAGGGGGGCAAAAGAACCTGAAGGTGAAAAACAGAGTGTTGGGTTCAAGCTCAATGCATTTGGTTAAAGCTGTGTGTATTCTGTACAAAATAAATACAATTCTGAACAAAATCTGAAGCAAGAGAAACTGGGTTCTGTGGTGCACTTGTAAAAGTGTAAAAGAGTATTGGAAAATGATCCATAACGAATTGAAAAAAATGATTAAAAGTACCTTCCAAACAACAACAACAACAGAGTCCTTTCTGCTGGGAATAATTCAGACTGAAATTCCCAGGTGTTAAAACAGGTTATTTATGTATGCTACTACTGTGGCCCGTGGTTTTTTAGCCCAAAAATGGAAAATGAGCGAGGTCCCAACCAAAAAAGAATGGCAACTTAAGTTGACAGAATATGCACAACTTGCAGACTTAACATATAGAATAAGAGAACAAGAACATATGTTTAGAAAAGATCAGAAAACGTTTATTGAATATATGGGAAATAATTGTGTACAGCTGAAAACGCTGTCTGCGTTAAGATAAATACAACAGTGTAAATAAGTTTTGATGGGTGCAATAATGGAATACTGAATGGTATAGTTTTTGTAAAATATGCAGGGATTTATGATATGTAAAATGAACCATGGAAAGAGAAAAAGGGAAGTCACTGATATCTTAAGGATGCAAAATGAGTATTATAAATTGTAAAACAGAAAATTTATTAAAAATTATAGAAAGAGAGAGAGAGAAACTGGGTTCTGTGACCTACATAAATGATATGGCTTGCAGAGATTTACTAACTGTGCATAGTTTTATTTTGCTCCTGCTTAGCCATAAGGAACTAACTATGCAGGACACTAAAACTCAATTCCTACTTTACAAGGATTTACCAGGCATTTCTCACATTTTCCTATATACTGTGCCAGCTGATCATTATAAGAATAACTATTCAAGAATCAATGTTCTGAGTTTGATTCCCCCACTCCCCCGGCCACTTTCTCCCTGTCCATTTTCCCTTGTGTGTCTTTTTTATTATTATTGTAAGCCTGAGGGAAGGGTTTGGTTTTTTTTATTGACAGTATATAGTATTATGTTAACTCACTGGAAATAAGCCACTCTGGGGACACTTTTGGCTGAAGAGCTCTAAATGCTTTAAATAATGGTGATAATACTTTTTCAAAGAGCAATCGCTACAGTTTTAGGATGAAGAAACACACTATTTTTAAAACGAAAACTGAAATTCCTGGATACTCTGTTTTCAGAATCAAAAGGAGGCGACTGTGGAATTACAGAGCAACACTGTCTTGGCTCCATAACAATATAAAAGGTATCTGCACTACTGCTTATTGCACGCTTCTAAGCCTGACTGATTTCTATTGAAGACATCAAACACGTACTTAAATTTCCCATTGAAGAAAGAGAAATGTAAGACAGGAGTGAGGAGTCTTTGCCATCCCCAGAACTGCATTTTCTTGGGGAAAATCGGTCAGGGGCAGCAGGTCAATAGGGGGCAGGGCCAATGTCAAAAGTGGATCGCTCCTCCCTCTCTCTAACATCCCCACTCCCACCAAAACCATATTACTTTGGAAGGGGGCAGACTCTCTTTCACTGGAGGGCTTTAAGCAGAGTCTGGATGACCACCTATCAGGATACTGTGGTAGTGCTTTTCTAGCACTGGCAGGGAAAATATGAGATTTGATGTCCTTTCCAATTCTTATGATTCTATGATCCATTCATTCCATTCCAGTCTCTCCCTTCCCCTTTTCACTTTATCACCTTCTCTCTCTTTCTCTCATCTCCTTGTCTCCCTGTGCAGCAAATTTATGCTTTAAAAAAAAACAGCTTCCATTGGGGATAATGCGAGCTGTTTAATTTATACCAGGATGGAGGGTGTGAAGATTGGGATCACATCATAGAGTTGTGACACCCCCAATAATGATTTTTAAAAATCACCCCCAAAATCACAAAAAACACCTTTTATTCTGTTATGTTAGGCTGTTTTTGAGCCTAACTGCTGACTTTTAAAGCTATAAGAACAAGGGGGAAACTGGAAAATAATTCCAGAGAAATAATAATAATAATAATAATAATAATAATAATAATAATTTATTTATTTATACCCCACCCATCTGGGCTGAGTTTCCCCAGCCACTCTGGGCGGCTCCCAATCAAGTGTTAAAAACAGTACAGCGTTACATATTAAAAACTTCCCTGAACAGGGCTGCCTTAAGATGTCTTCTGAATGTCAGATAATTGTTTATCTCTTTGACATCTGATGGGAGGGCGTTCCACAGGGCGGGCGCCACTACCGAGAAGGCCCTCTGTCTGGTTCCCTGTAGCCTCACTTCTCGCAATGAGAGAACCGCCAGAAGGCCCTCGGCGCTGGATCTCAGTGTCCGGGCTGAACGATGGGGGCGGAGATGCTCCTTGAGGTATACAGTTAAGATTCTATCTAACATATCAACTGATACTAAAAGTATCCCCAGAATAATCTCCACTCCAATTTTTCACTCCAGTATACTGAAAACATTTTTGTAAAAAAAACCTAATATAGGTTTCATTAGCATTCCTCATTTGGCCAGCTGAAGAATGTCTAAACACCAAGCCAGCCTTTATGTGTACACTAGGTGGAGCTCCACCCAAAGCAAATTTCAGGATTTCAAAGAACCAAGGGCCCAAACTTACACTGTACAAGTATAACAATTTTAAACAACCTGGAACCAAGCTTACACTGTATAATAGAGCTTTTGAAATGGCACTACCAAAATCTGGAGAAAAGATACTGTGGATGCCTGAAGTTCTTCTAGAGCAGCCAAATATTGTTTTGTGTATGACATTTCCCATAATGTTTCAAAATGGCACAATAGAGAGCACACAGCACAGCACTAACCTCTTTTCATTTCCATACGATTTCTGTGCAACCTTTGCATGAAGGATTAGGACTGTTTGATCACCACGCTCCTTTAAATAGTTTCTCATTGCTTCCCTGAGAATTAAAAAGGCACAATAAAATTAATAGAAATACTCTTCATAAAAAAACAACCTGTATGGCAAAGGTAGTCTCCAGGCGTTGCAGCTGCCATTGTCCCTGACCACTGGCTATGTTGGCCAGGGCTGATGGGAGGTGGGAGTCCAAAAACTTAAGGAGGGCACCATGTTGGCTTTAAGTTTTGATATTTGAAAATATTCTGGCAAAATAAGCGGCCCAAGTGCGTGGAGTACAAGATATCTGTAAGCACATACCTTTATAACCTCAAGTAGCTCACTGGTGGGGCTTACAGAGTTGCCAAGGGGCGTGTAGGTGGCTTAACCTAGTTTCTGAGTCCCTCCTCCTTCAGAAAGCACCTCCCTGTCCTCAGGCAACAGTAGTGAAGTGAAAGTCCAAGAGTTATCCACCACAAGGGTTATAATTAGTGGAATACATGATTTAAAGAAGGACTTGGGAGCTGGCCCTTACTTTCTAGCAGAGCTGGAAAAGACATCAGCCTGCCTTTGGACAGTGGTGGCTTTTGGGAGTAAACACTACTAAGATAGATGGATCAAGAGTCTAACACAGTTGAGGCACTTTCATTTGTTTTGTCTTCACAAGCAGTAGCCTATCTACAAAATCTAGCTCTACTCGGAAAGGATAAACAGCCTCTTTCAAGAGTTGAATATAGTGGTACTTCTGGTTGCGGACGGGATCCGTTCCAGAGGTCCGGCTGGATCCCGACGTTTTCACAACCAGAGAGATCACTTCTGCGCACACAGGCATGGCGGAAGAGTGCTTCTGCGCATGTGGCAAAATCCCAGAAATATACTTCCGGGTTTGCTGCTTACGGTATACCGAAGTTTATGTAACCGAAGGGATACGTAACCGGAGGTACAACTGTATTTTTATATCTTTTTTTTTAAAAAAGGAGAAAAATGTTAAACTGCTAAATTGTTCAGCCTCGAAGTATACTCAGGTTGGAATTACATGGCTTTTAATGGATTAACTACAGAGCAAGCAGGAACTCATTCCAAAATGCATTCCTGGATGTATCTCTAATTCTGTATTTGCTAGAAATTTTTTGAAACGCACATGAAACAAAAGCAGCTAAGACAAACGTGTTAGGATGCTGACATCTGCCTATAGTTAGGGGATTTGCCGCTTAAGATTACCAGTACATTCCCATTTCATTTCAAACAATATGCAGTTATCATAGGGCAGAACCTATGGAAATGATTACTTTTCAAAGGCTTCCCTAGTAGGCTACCAAGAGAGGGGAAGAAGCAATAACATGCATATTCCACTGTTTTTCTGAAAATTATGACTAGCATTCCACACTGGTGCTCCAGGGAGTGGGAACAGCTTCTGTTCACAGAACAAAAGGCTGCTTCCATTCACAATATTGAATGCCACCCCATTGTAATGAACTGTAAACTTTAGCTTTGTCCTTGGCTACTAGGAGAGAACCCGCATTGAAAATAATGCTAACATATAGATAAAATAGAACATTTGTCCACAGGAGGACTGTTTGGAGAATACAAACTAAAGCAACAGGAAAAAAGGATTCAAAATCTAGTGTTTTGCCAAGGAACAGGCTACGATTTAACACTGGAAAGACCAGACACGAAATGTACTAATAAAACTCTGAAATTTAAACTTTAAAAAAATGGGTAGCTGAATATTTCAACAACAGTAAAAGGCATCAAGAAAGTATATATTGTCCAATGATAAGAAATTCTCATCCAGTTCAAGCTCTTTAGCCCTTTATCAGTGAGTGGTCTAACCTAAGCATAATTAGGGGTACTTAGGCCACTCTGGAAGCTGTTTTGGATGAGGAGAAGGTCTACATAAATAACTAAATGCCTGGATTGTTGTGTGTTTAGAATTTCCATTATTTAAAAAGGTCAAAAAGGCAATCCACGGTGTGTAGGTGCATGCGTTTGTGTAATCCAGTTGTAGTCAGGTGATCCAGCCCAGATTAACATGCCGTCACTGAATTCATAACTCCCCCAAGAGAGGAGTGCTTTTACTGCACTGGCCTATTGACTTTGGAAAAACCTGCATTTGGACAGAAGGGCTGCAAGACATTTTTTTGTTGTTGCAAACATTTCATAATTTTAGTACTTTATGGGCTGTGAACTGCCTCGAGATCTTATGATGAAGGGTGGTATATAAATCTAATAATAAACAGATAAATAAATATTAAAAATTGTATGACTGCCTCTTATTGTGCTATTTAATACCACACTCACTTTGAAGGCTGAAAAAGATGTCTATAAATATTGAAAAATGGGACACGGGTGGCGCTGTGGGTAAAAGCCTCAGCGCCTAGGGCTTGCCGATCGAAAGGTCGGTGGTTCGAATCCCCGCGGCGGGGTGCGCTCCCGTTGCTCGGTCCCAGCGCCTGCCAACCTAGCAGTTCAAAAGCACCCCTGGGTGCAAGTAGATAAATAGGGACCGCTTACTAGTGGGAAGGTAAACGGCGTTTCCGTGTGCTGCGCTGGCTCGCCAGATGCAGCTTGTTACGCTGGCCACGTGACCCGGAAGTGTCTCCGGACAGCGCTGGCCCCCGGCCTCTTCAGTGAGATGGGCGCACAACCCTAGAGTCTGTCAAGACTGGCCCGTACGGGCAGGGGTACCTTTACCTTTACCTTAAATATTGAAAATTAAAAAATTTGGTAACTTTAGGTTGAAAACTGACCTAATAAAAATGCAGAGGTGAAGAATTATTCCATAGTTGGATTGATTTGACTTCACCCTTCTTTTTACAATATATTGCCATTAAATTTGTATTTTCAAGGTGGGACAAGAAAGGAATCCACTGTGTATTTAGGTCTAATTCATTACAGATGCAATAGTAAAACTGTTCTTAGAGTGTATCACTTCAAATTACAGCTAGGAATAGAGTTACATGGTCAAATGTAATTTCTCCGGGGGGGGGGGGACATATTTGCACAAACAAATTTAGCATATTGGGAAAAGGCTAAGCTACAACCTGTTTTTATGACAACTAGATCTTCATACATAGTTCAAAAAACCTATGAATTAACAACAGTGAACCATGCAATTGCCTGCCCAAAGTCCAAAGGAACTAAGAAACTAATTGCATACACTTGGCTCTAGCAACACAAATAATTATGTCTTACCTGGTGAGCCGTTTAGGTTGAGGTCGCTCACCAAATTTCCTGTAAGCAGAAAAACACACAAAACAGTCATTTGTAACATTTCTTACTCAGAGGTATGGCTCACTGTGTTGAGTATATCTTCCTCCAAAGGTATACAGGTACAGATTGCAGTTTCAATCTGTCCAGCTAACAGAGTATATGAGCTGTTAACTCAATCTGCAAACCTAACAGAGCAGCACAATCCTGCTAAAGAAGTGTTTAAAATATGCAGTTCTTATCTACCCTGGATCTCTCCAAACTTTAAAGCCCTATTAAAAATGGCGGCTGTCACTTTTCCCAGTTAAACCATTCATTCTAACATGGACGTGCTATGCAGCGTCAGGGTTTTTTTAAGACATATGAAAATTCACATTGTTAATTTTTTAAAAAATTGTGCTTTCTCAATGAATAAATCAAAATTTTAGGTCTGTTAACATCAGTTACCAGTTCAAAAAACAGTAACTGCAGTCAAAGAAAACCCAGGACTCAGCTACATTAGTCAAAAAACAGTGATATGAATGCATTATAGACATGCAACACCAGATGACACCAGAGAGCACAAAACCTTTCTATAGTGTTTTTACATAGGGTTTCCCCCCTTTTTGTTATAAGGATTTAATTTCTGACTTATTTATAGTGGGGTTCCCCCCCGCCCCGTGTGTAGAACCACCTCCAGATGCATGACCATTATCACACTATGGCAACAGAACAAACAAACAACCCCCAAATGTATCCGCAAAATTATTGGGAAAACCTGTTTTCAATACATAGAATAAATATAATTTACAGAAATTCCTTTGCATTAACAAATCCATATCAGAAAAGTAAAGAGTATGAGAAATAAAAAGGAGAATACTTGCTTCACTCCGTAAACAAGCAAGCAAATGTGTGGAAATGCCACTTTGTTCCTTCCTTCACATGAGTAGGCAAGTATGTCAGAAAGCCATGACCCATAGCTTTCCACTACGTCCAAACCAGGAAAATGTGATGAATGGCCACCAAACATGGAGGCCCTGGCTCTTTTTATTTATTAACAGCGCTAGAAATTAAAGATATATAAGCTAAGTGCAAAATTGCTCCTTAAAACAGGGTTACAGTCGCCAAAACGGAATGCTTAGTTGCCATTTATGGATCAGATGGCTCAAACATTATATTTTTCAATACAAAGTTTGGGTTTCTGAAATTCATACTGATTGTACAGATAAAACGTAACAGGATTCTACAGGATGTGTTGCTAGTGTGTGAAAACAGTTAAGATTCAAGGTTCCCCAGGCATGCACCTCCAAATGGTGGAGACTTCAGGCACCATCCTGGCACCCGGGCATCTTCACTTGGTCACAAGTGTCTGAAAGCCAGGTGCAAAATGCACCTGTCACCTTTTGAACACTGTTTATAACTACTGTAACTATTAACCAAGTTAACCAAGCTTTGGCTAACAGAGGTTCCTGGCTTATTTGCTAGCTTGAGTGAAGGGAGATGGTAAACAGGTGTGTGGTGTTACAACCTGTTTATATCTTGGCTTCAAATATAAGATTTGATTGTCTGAATGCAGCCAATTATAGCCTCTGTTAAATCTTCAACATTCTCTGTCATTAGGGTGTTTATTCGTCCTTATTCAGTGACTACTGCTGCTGCAGCCTGGGCTCTGTCAGTCTTAATAGCCATGAACTAATTCCTCTATGTCAGCTAGACTGCCTACAACTGTAACCCATTCAGCTGCACTCAGTTCTAGGTGCAGAAAGTTTGCTGAGATTCCCAGGGGGTCCAAAGGATGGAGAAAGGGGCCCTCTCCACTCACAGCTCTTTCTTCACCCTCTACCCTTGCCTCCTCCTTTAGCTGCTTTATGAAAAATAAGTGAATGAAGAGTTGTATTTTGATGAACACCAGTGCCTTTGTTTTTTGGATATTAAAAGCCAACACCAGGAAATTACGCCCTCTGAATGGAAAGCTGCAAAACCTAGACAGCAAAATAATGACTACATTGGAAAGATTCTTAGCAAAAAGATTCCAGAAATTATTGATTGATACTGTTTGCATATTCCACCGCAAGTCACTTCAAACAGGGCACTGCAAAGATGCATAGGACTGATTCACACAACCATACTTAAATGGTAACTGTATTATGCTCAATACCATGCCACATTTCATATAGAGAGCATATGAAATATGATGAGTTCAGATATCATGTAAATGCCTCTTACACGTATAACATCACATGTGATGTGACACAGGCATTTGAAAGTACATACCAATGACAAAATATATTATTACAGGTGAGGTGCATATAACCAAAGTCTTACGTCATGCTTGAAATTCAGTGGGCAAGCAAGAACAACCTGGACCCCATTTTTCACAATATTTTAAAAACAGACACTGTTTCTGCATCTCAGGGAAATTGCAGGAATATTTTCATTCCCCTGTTCAGTTCCAGTTAGGAACTATCCCTTCTTCCCCAGCTTGAAGCTTCCCAAAATTTGTTGACCTCTTGAGGAGTTTCATGTCCCACCCATACATATATTTTATATTTTATCTACATGAAACAGACTTGAACAATACATATAAGCTGACCTGATCTTCCAGCACTGCTATTTCAGCCCCAGAAAACAACAGGTATATTCAACAGTTGCATACATAGAAAGTTATGTTCAGTTTTGTGGGTCGAACATGTATATCTGAGACAAAATTAACAAGAATAATTCCAGGACTAGAAAGATATAACATATAGACTGGTTATTAGGAAATCTTCTGGAAATTGTTGATACAATGCAACTAATCAGTTGAAATTAACTTCCATAAACAGTTTTTTAAAAAAGAAGAAAGAAACCTAAGTAGAAAAGCTGAACCTTCGAGATTAGAAACAAAATAAATCAAGACAAAGTATTTCAGAAATCTTTCTCTAAGCTGCATCCTTATTTTCAATATTCCAGGCTAGCTAACTTTATCATAAGATTACTCTTTTCTGTGTAAACAGTGCAGTATAGTGGACAATTTTTAATGTAGGAATGGATTCAAATCTCTGCTCAGCCATGAAGTTGATTGGTGGCCTTGAGCAAATTATTCCTCAATACCTCATAGAAATGATGTAGGATAAAATGGGAAAGGGGATTGTGAACCTAATAAATTCTACTTAAACGCCTTGGGGAAATGATAGCAAGGCATATCTAATCAAATAACATTGTGTCCATCCACCTGCTTTACTCAACTGATACTTAAAATCAGTAAGGGGAAAAGTGGGTAGTTTGTACACTTTTGGTCCCCACTCTGCACTCAGCTCTCACCTGAAGGAGTGCCTCCACCCCCATTGTTCTGCCCGGACACTGAGGTCCAGCGCTGAGGGCCTTCTGGCGGTTCTCTCGCTGCGAGAAGCCAAGTTACAGGGAACCAGGCAGAGGGCCTTCTCGGTAGTGGCACCCATCCTGTGGAATGCCCTACCACCAGATGTCAAAACAACTACAGTATTCCAGACTTTTAGAAGACAGCTGAAGGCAGCCCTGTTTAGGGAAGCTTTTAATGTTTGACTGACTATTGTATTTTACTATTTTGTTGGAAGCCGCCCAGAGTGGCTGGGGAAACCCAGCCAGATGGGCGGGGTATAATTTTTTAAAATTATCATCATCATCATCACCTGTGGCTCCTAGAAGCTCTCAGTATGCAAGAGTAACTATACCCCAGGAAACGGCTCCAACTGGCCAGCTAAACCAGGTGAGGGTAACCAATGGGTCTCAAACCCTCAGATAGGATCTTTCCCTGCATGTAAAGACAGACTCTGGTGAACTGAGCAGACAAGACCGAACAGTGGGTCCAATGGTCAAGAAGGCATTTTTTGAATGAGTGAAGTGAAGGGCAGGTGGGGCTTGCCAGACTGGGAAGGTAGCCCATCTAGGAGATGGAAAACTCTGATCCAAAACTTCCGCTGCCTTGCAGGATATCTTCCGAGAAAAGAAAAGGATAATAATAATAATAATAATAATAATAATAATAATAATAATAATAATATTTGTAAACCTACACTAATCTGAAAGAGTCTCCAAGATGGCTGGATGGCATCTTGTAGCCCTATTTCTGGCAACTACAGAGCCAAGTTGGTGACAAATGTATTGATCTGCTTTCCTTTGGACCACATCAGTGAGGCCAGGACCTCCATACATACTGCCCAGGCTTGTACCCTGTGGAGGTCACTTCAGTGCTGCTGACGCAGCAATTTGACTTCACCCCTGGAGGCGCAATCCATTGCCTCTTGAGACAGAAGGATGCCAAGAACTTAAAAATCATTTTTGCATTTTAAATTCCCACCCCTTATTTCATTTTCCATGTGTAAATCAAATAACCATAGAATGAATATGGCAGTTTGAACATTGTTAATATGAGAAAGCAAGAGAGTGATGATCAACAGTAAAGCCTTTATTTAAAAAGGCATTTTTGTGCATGACTTGTAAAGATGTCTTTTCATCATTTCTTTGTGGTTTCAAGTGAAAGTCAAGAGTTCACTGTTGTGTGATATTAATCAAATACTACACATACTGAGAGAGAAAGCTCTCTGTCTCATTTAAACCACAAAAAATTAAAAAAATTGGACTACATGCCCATGTCTATCATAAGATCCACTACCATTTCTATTAAACTGCAGTAACCTTTCTATGACCATGTCACCTCAGTCATTTTAGAAGTTCATGGACAGGCAAAATGTCACATCACGGCACTATGTAAAGACAAAAGGACATCAACCGCCATGCCCCAGCAAACTTTTACTCTTACTACAAACAAGTTGGAAAGGTCCAAGGCTCCATTTACGTAAATGGCTGCTGTTTTGTTGGAGAACATCAATGCAATAGTAGTGTGCTTTTCACCTTTATTTACAATGGTGTGTTTATTTTTTCTCCCATGGTCCAATTTATTTCTAATACTACATATTCAAAGGCATTCACTCGTGCTTTAGAGAAGTCACTTATTCCCCTGCCTGGCATTTAAAAAATTGCCAAAGAGTTCACAACATGTGGTGGTAACGTCTAAAGTGCCCCAG